CCTTACCGTAGTCCTACCGTAATTCCACTTGATGACGCTATCTCAGGAAATAAACATCATAATCGTGCTTAGCATACCAAATAACCCCCTAGACGAAGTGTTAGCGAAGCTCACGATTTTCATTTTTTGGGTCAACTAATGTGGAATAGAACCAAGTGAACTATAGAGATTTTCTGAATTCTCTATGTAACACAACAACGCGAAAAGGCGAGACCTTCTCATTCTTATAGATTAGTCTCAGCGAATTTGAGAGACTTCGATTGCTTTTCGTTACTTTGCCTGTTACAAAACTAGCATACCGTCACTCATCTTCAAATGCTCCAAAGGTTCATATGCAATGCCGCTCTCAAAGCGTGCAAATTTCCGTGAATGTAGCGGAATTCTCGGAATGTCCGGACTTTCGCGGAATTTTCGGAAATGCGCGGCATTTACGGAAATTTTGCACGTTCTGAGAGCGTTGAGTGTCCCCACAAAAATTCCGAGCATGTGATTGTAGATACCTCTCTTGTCCCAACCGTTACGAGGACATTCCAAGTACCATATTGTAATGGTCTAGTTTTGGAGTATGAATCTATTGTAATTAGTCATTGTTGTAGGATTAGCAATGATGAAGAAACTGCAGTTCAGAAAATACAAATTTCTCGAATTTTGTTAACCTAAAATTTTACAGTCCGTCTGCAAATAAGTCCGTTTTTTTATCTATGTAGGCCTTCCGGATAGGTCCGCCGTACGGATAAGTCCATTTTCTTTCCAAACTACCCTAAATTTTGTCAGATAAAGCCGAACACTATTAGATAAGCCCAAACTTGTCTGCATCTGTCTTATCTGATGGGAGGATTTGTAAGATTTTAGGGTATGTTGTTTGCGGACAAGCTGATCTTAGCAATAAACTTTGCTTTCCAAAGTATGGGTAATAATTTTCAGAGGCAACAAGAGAATATCGGCTGTAACCTGGCATGATCTGTCAGTTTGAGTTGTAGCCGGCCCTTGTAAACATCAAGCAGCCGAAACTGTTGCTACGAAAAAGTTATTGACTGTCTAAAACTCGAGACATATTAATAAGTCGTATAATAAGTTCTGTTCCATTTTTTCTTTTGGTTTTTTCTTGACAACATTGACTATATTTGAGATAAAGTGTATATGCTTTTGAAGGCTCTAAGTCCGCTCTGCAGGCTCATAAGCATCATTTCCCAACATAGCAGGAAACTGAAAAAGATTTTTATCATTGGAACAAAAAATCCAAAGAGCCGAAAAATCAATTTTCGACATCTTTTTTCCTCCAAATTTTTCTGGATTTTTATTGGTAAAACTTATTAAACAAGCTTGACAACAACCAAAACAATCTATTAGACTTTTACACTTATTCTACCACTGTTTACGCATGTTCCCTTCCTTCCACCGGCTATTTAATGACATTTTTTGAAAGTCGGCAAGGAAGGACTTTGTCACGGCGATGTCTCCGTTTCGCGTGCCCAAGCTGTGTGGCTCCAAAATTCGAATTTTGAGTATTTAACCTATGAATTCGATAAATTTGAAACCACAAACCATCCCTTCTGTCTTTTCTGGATGATACGCCTACTGTCTTCCCTCAGAATGCCTTCAGATGATGCTCAACACCAATGTTGAAAAGGCGTTAGAAAGAAGATTTTTCTAAAGTCTACAGAAGTGATTTTTGAGAAGTTTCAGCGTTCTGAAGCGCAATAAAAGCTAGATCATTCTTTGCCTAAGTGTAGCAAATTATTCGAGCTTACTCCTAGGTATTCTGACTGATTAGGAAGGCGACATAGCGTAGTTGTCGAAAATGGACTTTTCCCTGTTTGATTTTCCAAATTTGACGCTGTAAAACTTTTGCAAGTCATCTGATGTAGAAAACCGAAATGAAAGTCTTAGTAAAGAAGGCTTAGAGCTTTTAATTGCATATGAACAATTCAAAGAACATCGGCAAAATACTGAGAAAATCGAAAGAAAAAATGGGTCGGAACTTATTACACAACCTATTGAGGTTTTCTTTTTTTAAGCTTCGAATTTGCCTTCGACCCAGCAACGGATGGAATGGAGTTATTGTTAAGGAAGAGCCAAGCTTTGAGGTTTATATTTGCGCCTCTCATGATCTGATCGCCTCATGAGCAGCCGACTATTTTAGACATGCGTGACGACTAGGTTGTCCCAAATAGGAGGCTAAAATTCAAAGTTTAGATGACTCTTGCATGTTACTAGGGTTTTTCGGTTATTCTAGATGTTGATTATAGTGGTATTCAAGCATTATATTACATGTCACTATTTCTTATTCTGAACTGGAGTAAGTCAAAAACCATTTCGAGACCGTATGTGTTGAATAACGGAAATCAAAGAAAAGCGCACATCCCATCTCATTTAGTAAAACATCTAAATCTTCTGCGGTTGCGATATGCGGTGCTGCTCAAAAAAGCACTTGTTTATATGGATTCACTTAGATTCAATCACCAAGAAGCGTTTCTTCAACTTGTGGTTGGGGTAAGTAGAACGCTTTCGCTTGATCATTCAGGAAATGTGAGTAGTTAAGTGTCGAAAGTGGTTTGCACTTTCTGATGTGTTTCGGAAATTCTCGTTCGCTTTTGCGTTAGTGAAGGCTAACAGGTTTATGAAGCCGCTCTATCAATTTTCAGAAGTTATGAGTTATGAAAGATTGTTGATAAAAGGGAACTCGTTCCTTTAGTGGGCTTGAGCAAGGGACATTCTTTGCCACACATTATTCCACTGCATTGTGCAATGAATTTACATGCAGTGAGAGGAACAATGAGGAGTGAGGCAAAAAAAGGAAAACAACGAGGGAAGTAAAAGACGTACATAGTCTTGTAAGTGGTGAGTCAGGCATGGCATATGCGGGGTTTTCGAAATGGTCCATAAGTCTTGAAAACCTATGGAAAACATGTCTCAAAAATGCTTGAAAAAAGTATCCATTTTTATATTTTGTACTCCTTAGATATAGCATGTTCCGTTTTTCTGTACCTTTTGAAGATTTTATTCGAAACTTTCTATCAAATCAAAATTCTAGGAGTATCCAATCAGTAAAGAAAACTCTGACTTAAGAAGAGAGTCCTAGCACTTAAGAGGAGTGTCCTAGCAAAATAATCAAAACTGACAATGAATTTTATTGGTATTGTCTTCTCAAAATTTTTGCAGTCGAAATCTGGGAATACGATCTGGTTACAATTTATGAGCTTATATCGCCCGTTACGACAACATTGACTTTTTTGTTCAAGCACTACACAGAAATTGATCTGTTCCCGAATACAGTTATTAAACAATTTAATTAGAGAAAAAATTACATTTTTTTAAATGTTAATTGTTTTTAAATAATTGAAAAAATAATCAAGACTCATATACCAACTTGTATATATAACTACACAAGAAGCTGGAGCACTCCTTGAAATGATTTTTGGATTATAAGGATCTTAATAATAATTAAATGAGCTTCAATTGCCTTGTTCTGCTGCACATCGTGGAGGAGGCCGTTATAGCAAAATTTGAATTTTTCTGAAGTGCGAAGAGCTCTCAGTTACTGAGTGCTGCTTCATCATGATACGGAAAGAATTATTGTCGTAGTCTGCGATTATTAACTTGTTGAGTATAGGAGCAAGCTCCTACCCTGCTTTCCGTGATCATCCTACGAGCTGTCATTCCCTCAAAGATGCCAAAAACAACTGAACATGCGATAACATATTGACATTGCAGCTAGCTTGGGCCAAGGCGGAAGAGATTATCATTTTCTTGATGGATGCCAGGACGTTTGTTTCCAGGAGCTAATGAAAAAGCTTCGACGACAAAATTATTGCGCTATAAGATGTGGGACTAATTTTCACGAAATGTGCCAGGCAATGAATGTAAGTCAAGCTCAATTTTCGCAAAATTTTATCTAGCGTGTCAATTTTTGGAGAAAAACGTGCAAAAATGCACAGCACAATAAGCTAGCAACGTTGATTTATTTCCGCGCAGACTTTGAGGAGAGGGGAGAGTGGGAGGAAGAACAGTAAATTCTTGAAACTTTAATACGACAGAAAATTTGTTTTCATCTGACCGTCTCGGTATGGATGGCTTATAAACACTGGATATCGTTTTTGGGCCAAAAAGCAAAGGGATATCGTTTTTGCGGTCTGAACACAAGTTAGGTCTGGCTTTTTCAGTCGACGTTTCCAATCTTGGGTCAAAGGGGAATTCGTAAAATTCTGCAAATTTTGCGAAAGTCAGAGAGACTTCGTTTTTTATTCGGAAAGCCACTTCGTGTCGAGCCCTGCTCTCATGTCTCAAATTAAGCAGTTTTGGTTTTATTGAGTTGTTCTCGCGTGTAGCCGTGTGTAAGAATTTCTAGCAAAGAAGTCATTATATTAGTCATTAGTTATTAGTCATTACATTTGTTATTTATTCACGTCTTAGAAAGTATTCGAACAACGTTGGCAATTAGGGGAAGCAAAAGCAGGTCCCTTGTACCTATAAAAAGTATCCTCCCCCCCCCCCATCCAACTACAAACTTAGCCAGTAATTGTTTGAAAGAAGTAGTGATTACAATAATAAATGTCTGCAATTTTAGGCAAACTAAAGCAATTTTGGTCATGCTTGGATGAACATTTGCAGTTATTATTGTTTTTATACTTCAAGAGTTGGCATAGGGCTCCGCAACTTCCGAAAATGTACTATTATTGCACATGCAGTTATTGAAATATTTATAGCCCTCCAATAGCGCCATATCAAAAATTCATAGGGTTTAAATAGCTTCTCATAGCTGCCTCATCGTGAACATATCTTACAATGTAATGTATAAAATAATTTCGACAATACGCATTTTGTTTTGGGTGCTTGTTATTTGTATAAAACGATATAGCGTGCACTCGCAGTCAAAATAGAATTACAGAATTTATTTATAAACTCGAATACTCTTGAAAAAATCTAGCGGTTATAATTCTTCTACTCTCAGATCGATTATATGGTTAGAAAATAATGAAAAAAGCATGCTGCACATTCCCCTAGTTAGAATTATCACTCTTCGCTCGTGTTTTCGATGGAGCTCGTCTGGCCGGATGCTCTGGTGTGCAGCTTTTTTGATGCACGGACAAACGATCGGTCTGTAATCGCACAGAATGTTGTCAAGTAATGTTGTAATTTTCAAGTAGTGTACTTGTAACTTCATAATTTTCTTATGCTTGGTACAGTACTCACAGCAAATGTTCTGCCACAGTTTTGGCAAGGAATCAACTGGCTTTGGGCATGCTCCCATATAGCTTCGTTTGTGGCCACAGCGTCAATTTCTCCATCTTGAGAAAAGATATTTAGTGGGGAAACATCAAGAAAAAATTCCGATACCTTCTTTCAAAATCTTCTCTGGTTTCTTCGGCGGAGGTCTCCGCTGGCTCTTTGGAAGTTTTTGATTTTCTATATGCCACTTTTCCAGACATTTTGGTTCATGTATCGCTAAATATTGATCATAGATGACAAAATAAGATTTGCTTCAAAAATAAGCTTGCTCTGCCTATGCTTTTCGATCCGTATTGTCTTCCACAGATGTAACAGAATACGGTAGGTGGAGGTCTTTGGGCTCGTGGAACTCCAATAAACGCCTCCTACAACTGATTATAGTCAGATTCATCACTTTCTGGATTTCTTATTCATTTAAACGGTCACATAGAAGATTAAGGTTAAGATAGGTCGGTCATAAGTCCTGCACAGATTTTTTGAGAATTGCAATTTGTTTCTAGCCTAAACAAATCCATTCAATTTAGCATCTGGAAGAAGAAATGCGTTTTCACTGCGCTTTATAGAATTCATTCTAGGGCATCATGAAGATACCAGCCGATAGACAAAATCAGTAAAATTGTATTTTATTTCAATGGCTAAGAAAGCTGGTACCCAACAAAAATTGATTTTCACTTTCAGTTTACGATTTACTCCTTTCAATCGAGTCAACGAATAGTTAAGATTTTCGAGTTTTAAAATTCAATCTTGTCCCTAATGAAATCTTCAATAATAGAATAGAATGTTTTCTATACCCGAGGAAAGAGATTAACTGTAAATTGAAACGTCTTCAGGCATTTTCTAAGAAGAATTTATTCAAAAAATTTAGTGCAGGATATTTGGACCAACCTACTAATACGTGATATTTTAGATTGGCCGTTCGTTTTGGCATGCAAATCTCCATAAAAATTTTCTTGTTGTTTTCCAACCATGATTCGTTGCGGAAAAGTAGCTCAAAGCTTATTCTATCATATGTCAAATTTCAGAATTTTCTATCGACGGTAAAGACAGCTATGCCTCATGGGTAAATTGTCAAAAGCTCAATTCTTTGACTTCCTAAGCTTCGCTTTCATGCTGTAATGGATATGGATAGCAACGTAAATTGTGGCTGCCACTTTGAAAATCTTTTTTCAGATCTTCTCATATTTGCGCGCTATGAGAAATTGTGGTTTCTCACTTCTTTGCGGATTTTTTTTTGTGAAAAGTTCTACTCAAACGAATTTATACACCAATTCCCATTGAAGTGTTCTTCCCAAAGATAACAAACGTTGCACAAAAATTTGTCTGCAGCATTTGTGAGAGCCGCAAAAGCACCGACTCACTTATTAGCCAACCTAATCAAAGTCGTTGAAAGATTTAGCATGCCGATGTGTTGAAAGATGAATAAAGATAAGAAAAATTGGGTTGGTTTTTATGAAAAGACTGGGTTTTTATTCATGTTAAATTTATGTTGTGTGATTTGTTTTTGATGGATATAAGCTGTAAACAAAGAGTAAAAACGCATAAATATTTAGTTGCTCACCATTTTCAACTTCACCGGATGTCGTGGAAGTAGTCGAAAAGAGTCACGTCACTCAAAAAATTCGAGGCTGGAGTGTTGGTTGCTTGGTTGCTACGAAACGAATACAAGATGTTGAACGGAACTGCGAACATTTGAGTGCTTTGAATAAACAGGACATCTATTATGAATGGAGACAGAGCGACACTAGCAGTTATCTCCCTTTTTTTCACCTCGAATAACACATTCACACATAGTAACACCTATGCACTTTAGTCTAAGCGCATATGTTCGGTATCGAGAATTTTCTATTCACAAAAGTTTAGTGGTTCATTAAACAATTTCATCGCAAAACCTCACGATTAGCTCTTTCTATAGTTCATTTATAAAATCGTGACGACTGATTTTACTGCGGACTTTGCGCCCACAGGAGCATAAAACGCTCGTACAAAAAGGCATCACCTCAACTTTCAGCTCAGTTACTTCCAATGACTAAAATCATCATACGTAAGCAAAAAACCATTCGACTAGAAATGAAACCAAGAAAATGCGATTTCCGGAAGTGACGTGCGTGTCGCGCGCGGTCGCGCCATCGTCACGATTTTCTCCTATAGTCTAGCTAAAAAAGTTAGAACCGATTTACTACGCTCATTGATTTTTTTCAGGCTTAGTTGGACTCATACTGTGATGGATTATGTCGCCGATAGGCTCTAATTGCGCGGACAACTGGCACACCGACGAGGGCGGCTGCGTTAAAATGCAAGGTCTGTGGCAGATGACCGCGAGAATGGAGAATATCGGAAATATACCTAACTTCCCTTACACTGAGGGCGAAGTGGTAAAAAATAAACAAAAATCAAGATTCGACCTATTATGCTTGTAATGTAGTCTACTGAGATTTGGCGGTTGATATAGTGCATTTGCGCTGCCGACAGCAATTGCGCGATAGGATTGTGGCACGCAATAAGTAAATGTGCGCCTTACTGGCAATTTTTTTAGGCCCAAGCTGGGTAATTTCTTCTGAATAATTGCTGTAGATACTGCAGTTGCACTATTCTAATCGTCGAATCTGTTGACTACAGGTTCGAAAGTCCATTCACTCAGTACGAAAGGAGGATTTAGAAAGTTTTGACTTTTAGGAACTTTCGAACATAAAAAAAGAAATTTTTTGATTGTGAATTGTTATCCGAATTGCAATAGATTAGCTAGAAGAAAGGAAAAAAGTGCTCTTATTGTCTTCTAACTGTGCGCAGCACATCCTATAATATATGTACATATGTGAAGGAACACTCATAGAAGAAGAGCAACAAAAAATTTAGATAAAAAACATTCACCATTATTCGAAGAATAACAATCCGTTCATAGAGAAAAGTTAGTTATCATGAGAACATTTAACTTAGTCATGAATTTATGATGTCAGACTTATTAACCAGTAGTATCGACAGGTGTGACATGAATTTAGCTGATTCAAAGACTTTTCAATATGAAACAGAACTCTCAAGGCGAAGGGCAAACTATTTCCCGAGAGCTGGGTGACAAGTTGAGTATAGCATTACAGAGAAGTCGCAGTCATACTACTCAAAACATGCACATATAATATTTGCGAGCCCGTCACTGGCCTCGTGTTTTCCAAGTTTATGTGCCGCCAAATTTGTGTGCTATCCATGTTTGTGCATTTGCTACACTTCGGGCGCAAACATGCTCGAATGTTTGGCACAACAACACGGATGAGATGTCATACTTTAGCTTCTGGATTAGTTCATAGGTCTTGCACCCGGGCTCAGCAGAGGTGGCGTTTTCACACCTGGTTGTCCTTTCTTGAAGAGGACTTAAAGGCAGCGGCTCGGCAGATTTTCAACTTCGGGGTTTTGGCAGATTTGGGGCTACTCCGGCCCCCTGAATCACGATATGAACTCCCCTTAGCGCGAAAATGGGGAAAACCCCGTCTTCTGAAACCCACCCTGAGACGGGCGCGGACGAGTGAGCCGTTTTTCTCTGCCGTCAGAGGCGCAGAGTAAGGAGGTAGAGAGCGCTAGAACAATTCTGCCCTACGAAGTTACGAGTGACGGCGCGTAATTTAGCGGAGAACATACTCGTCCGAATAAGGTGTTAGGGGAGCGAAAGGAGGAAGGGGAGCGGCGCTTGGCCCCTCCCCCTGGCTTGCCGAGTTCACATTTTCGGCGCGAAGTTGCTGTTTTGGTTCACTTGGAGGGCTTCCTATCCATCTGTGTCAAAATCTGAGGTAGGCCAATCTGCCGAGCCGCTGCCTTCAAAAGGCAAACCGCTAGGCTTGTGAGGAAGGGATTCCCGGATTTGACAAAATGTTAGAAAGCACAATTCTTACTCGTACTCTTATAAGCCCGAATTTGGCTCTAACGAATATACCAGTAACAGGTAATTTAACATGGTACAAACACGATTGGTGCACAAACTTGTGTGCACGCGATTCCTAACGTGTTGAAACATGATCTTTATGCATAAAAAGGTATCAATAAGCATGTTAACAACAAGTAAGCAATACTGAGCCTCTAAATTTGGTATGTATCTTTGGAAGTTATGTGAATGAAAGAAGTTGTATTTATTCTATTTTAGATTGCTCCCGCGTAACCTGGGAGGTTGCGCGGGACCAAAAATGTAATTTTTTTCCTCTTTCTCATATAACTTCTCACTTTTTTTCATAAACCTATCCTTCGGATTAGCTCTAAGTAAGAGCGTTCACTTTGACCTGGGTTTTATCCCATTTGCCTTGCTAAGGCCCTTGATGATTTGAAATTGCCGGCATTTTTCCGCCTATCGCTGTTTTGTCTGAGATTTCTTGTCTTTCCTTCACTTAGATATTATACATTCACTCATCATGATGCAGATGAACAACAAGACTTCTACAAACACCAAAAAGGTACTTCGTAATTCCGTGCAATACCAAGGGGATACTCGTTTCCAAAATTCTCGAATGCCCCACCACATGCAGGCCCTGATCGTGCTTAAACAACAAAGTAAACAAACCAAGAAAACACAAGAAAGATGATATCTCGTCTTCTAGCCTACACGTAAAATGCGCAAACACACTAGTACATCTGCTTAGTTGTGACTAGCTGGCTTACCCGGCTCCGCCGTATCCGGACCAAACTTGGCACACATACACTTCGGGCCCCGGCGGGTGTCACAGTCCACTTTTCGTTATCGATCGATGTCGATTTTACCGATTTTTATCGATTTTTTTGCAGAATTCACCTACAGGGCTAGGAGTTGGCACAGGGGGGGAAGTGAGCATGGGGATTCCGAATACAATATTAGTTTCCAGAATTATCAATTACTTTTATTGATTTTATCGATTTTTTGTAAATTTTGACATGCGGGGCTGGGATTTTGCACAGGGGGTAATCGAGCATGCAGATTACGAATACAATATTAGTTTTCAAGATCGTCCATTACTTTTATCGATTTTATCGATTTTTTGAAAATTCGAGCTAGGGGGCTGGGAGTTGGCACAGGGGTGTAATCGAGCATGCTGATCACCTCCCTTGGGGATGATCAGCATGCTCGATTACCCCTCTGTGCCAACTCCCAGCCCCGTAGCTCGAACTTTGCAAAAAATCGATAAAATCGATAAAAGTAATCGATAATCCTGAAAACCAATATTGTATTCGGAATCCCCATGCTCGATTACCCCCCTGTGCCAACTCCCAGCCCCGTAGGTGAACTCAGCAAAAAAATCGATAAAATCGATATCGATCGATGACGAAAAGTAGCCTATGACACCCGCCGGGGCCCAAAGTGTATGTGTGCCAAGTTTGTTCCGGATCGGTTCAGAAATGGAATTTTCTATTCGGAACATACGTACAGACAGACAGACATACAAACAGACATTCAGCTTTATATTAGGTCGTTCCAAAAGTAATGTCGCTTTTTTCAAAGGAACGCCACAATTCGTGGAATCAAGATTTTCAAGAGCTCTTAAGTTTGTTCGATGCAGAAATTTGTCCTCTTTCTAATGGTTGTAATCTCATTGCATAATATGCAATGAGCTCTCAAAAAATTACCAAAACCTGCGACTCAAGCTTTTTGTCATGGTCAAGTTCGGCTATTTTTCTATATTTTTGTACTGATTCCCCGAAGATGTACAAGTAACAGATAAATAGAGCAAACCCTACAGGACCCAAAACAACTTTTTTCTTTTTCTTAGTTTGCTTCTTAGAGTTTGTAGAACCAATTTTCGATGCTGTAAAATTCCATATTTGGTCAACTCAGACCTCACAGAACAACAACCGGCACGCAACACGGGTGCCACTCAACGCAGCTTTTTCTCCTCTTTTTACCAGTTATTTTTGGTTTCCGATTCATAAAGTTTTCCGGAAAAAATCATCATAACTCAGGTTTTCCAGGGTGCCTCAGGC